CTCACTCACTCACTCACTCACTCACGCATTTCATCTGAATCATGAGGAAAGGCAGGCTGAAAAAGCATCCGGTGAGTTTCTAATCATACCATTTCAGTGAACCAGTTTAAACAAACCCCAGGACTTGCTATAATCACACATTTCACACTGGTCCAAATACACAGCCACTGCACACCCACAACATATTTTTGATCCTTGCACATAAACTTCTCAATTACTAAAGTAAGTTTAAGTTATTTGAAAGCCCTATGTACAAGATTTCAAACTTACAGTGCATTTAAACCAAATCAATTTTCATTGGTGAACTTTTTATCAGACTTACCTTCTAGAAAGAACAGCAATATTTTACTTGTTCTGCAAGTAATCTTTTTTTAAAAAAATAATCTCCTTTTATGTCTTTCCTTTATTAATTTATGGTAAACGAAATATTGTTTGTACTTGCGTTAAGGATTGACGAGGATTTCATGTGTCACATGCATGCCAATTTAAAAACTAAATAAATAAATAAAAATAATGCTACTATAATATGTCTTAATCATTTTTTTTTGTATTGCAGGAAGAAAAAAGGAGGGAAGATGCAGATTTTGATGTAATAGATCTGACTGTTTCATTTGGGGAGCTTAGCTCTTTGGAGAACACTCCCACGAAGATAGAGCAGTATCATCAGTGCTCTCAGGATGAGGATGGTGCAAGGTAACATAATATTACCAAGTACTGTCGGTTATAGTTGTCTAATAAACAATATATTTACATACAGTACATTAGAAGGCATAGCAATCAAATGAATCTTCTGTGATTACTTCATTCAAATTAAGCTTACCTGGCAAATTGCTGTTGCACAAACAACCATTCAGTACTGTGCTCGGTACTTTTTATTTTTGAACCATGATGCATCCAAGATTTGATTGATTGCTAACTATTTCAAACAAGTGATGTAACTTTCTATGGAGTGAACATATGGCCCGGCATAGTAGATGGTGAACTCATAAATGTAGCAACCTGTTATGTAATTACAACTGCCCACAATATTATTGTTCTTCTCGTCCAGAGCTCAACTTGTCTTTGGCAACAAAGGGTCTGGGTCAAGTGAGACAAATTCAGAGCAAGATGATATGAAGGAGGATACAGATAAGAAGAAAACAAAAAGGAGAAAACAAAAGAAAATAGGAGAAGACTTGTGGAGTTATGCAGAGGGAGATGAGGTGGAAAGCTTGCCAGTGGGGATTGATGGACTTAATGTTTATATAGTGAGTCAGAAGGATGAGAAAGATCTTAAAGAATGCTTGAGGGATGGAAGGAAGTGGAAGAAAGACTGCCCGATGAACTGGAGAGGACGCGAGAGGTTGCATTATGCAGACTGTCGTGAATCCTACAAATGCAATACATGTCCGTTTTTGACAGAGTATGGTGTTAAAAACACAAAACAGTGGCATAGGTGGGTAGTAAATGTTTTGTGCCAAGGCTGTGGTGACCCAGGTACTTATGTTCCATGCAATGCTTGACGATACTTGTGCCATGAGAAAAGAAGTGTTTTAGTATTTCACTATGATTTCGTACTTTTTCTGTATCAAGTTATGTCACAAAAAGCAAGGAAGAGATAGAGAAAATTATCAAAGAAAACCCAAATATAAAGCCATCAGAGCTCAGGTTAGCCTTTTAACATGTTAACATCGAGTTTCTTAAGGTTTCTACACTACAACTCGTGAAATTCCTCAAGCGAACACATCTTGCATCCTTTGTATTTTTATAGTTCAGTCTACTCTTGGAAGAATTGTTTCTAAGTTTCATAATTCTTTCTAGTTAGTCTAATTATATTTTTCTTTTTATTTACTTCTTAGTTTTTCAAAACTGATTTGGTTATTGCTTTGCTACACCACTTGGTTTACCACATTGTTATATCACTTCACTACACATCGCTTCATGTGCAAGTACTGTTCTTTTACAGGGTTTTAAAGTGTCTATGTAACGTCTCAACTTGTCACTTCAATAAATTTTGTCTTAACCTGCTGAAGTCACGAGCCTTGTTGTAGCAATCATTTCTAAAGCACATTAAGAATTATTTAGCACGTCTGAACGACACTTGGAATTCACATGGTTGACATTCTGTGAGAAAGGTAACGTCTTTCCTCTCACATAGACAAATAAGTTCTTCAAAGTTTTCAAACCATTTAAATTGAACTTTTGTATCCAGATAGCTGAGTTTACTGACAAGAACCGCAAAATTGCTGCTTGATGTAGAAAGTCTCTCATATTGTTGATATGAATATGCTACAGCATTCGGAGCAACTTCATGCATGACTGCCATTGTGACTGGTGAAAACTTTAGCTGTGATAAGCTGAGTTGAAGTCCTGCTTCTCACTTGATCTTTTCCGCATCACTGAATTCAGACATTTTGTGAGACAAGGTAATTTAACCTTTTGATCAAAGGTCTTATGTTCATTGTAAAGCCAATTCCTTTCTCAAGCACCAGTGATATTGTTTTTGAGATTATGGGTTGGTTTTGTAGAGGCCAGTACCTCAGAGTCTCTTCCACTGGCCAACACTCCCGTGCGACCCAGCCAGCCAGCAGTCCCTGTTACAAGACGTAATCCTGGTAGACTCTACTGCAATTAGTCCATCAATATTAGAGGAGCATAGTAGTGTTCCACTACACAGAGGGGAAGACAAGGGCAACTGGAAAAGGAAAAGCGCCAATTAAAAAAATTCAGGTGGCTCCTTATAGTATACTGTGGCGCATGTACTGATGTGTGCCTAGTAATAGTTGTGTGCTCATGACTAATACATGGTGTATTGGTTTGTTTGAAAGTGGGTGAGATGTCTGAAAAAAGCAACTGTCCAGACCCCTTGGAGCAAGAGAATTTCCTAGAAGAACTGCCAAGGGATGCATCTAATTGTTTACCAGGTGTCTTGTCTACTCAGACAGGAACCGCAACCAACAGTTGCCAACAATCCCATACCAGTTCACTGCTGACAGCACTGAACATGTCTGGTTCAGATCCCTGCACACCAAATGTCCCACCATCCACTTCACATCCATCACCTATTGGAATACCACGAGCAGGATTAATTAAGGGTAATCGTAATCCCTCGTCATACATAGCGGGTGTTGTGGACTGGACTTTTACAGAATCCCAGTCAAACATCCAGGGAAGGACAGGCAGCAATGCTTGTGCCTTTATTGCCCTAATCATGGGGAAGATATGGATCATAGGAAGCTTGCTTTGGCTGAGAGGTGACTGTCTTCCTAAGTCATGGAGTAAATCCTTAGTTGAAGCAATGATCAAAGGCAACAAAATCCATGATGACCAGTTTGATCATCAAGCTGTTGGTTTAGAAGTGGAGGGTGCAGTTTCATTGGCAGATAATGCATGCAGGGTACAGAGAGTTGGGCAGCAGATTGACATTTTTGACATCAACCCAGTTCATCAGTTGGCCAATGTGTTAATCCAAGAGGCCCAGAATAACATGTCAAAGTCATGCTGTGTTATAATGACAGGACACCGTGCCATGCTTTTAGCAGTGAACTCTGATAGCTCTGCCATGATTATTGACTTCCATAGTCATTGAAATGATGGAGCCATCATAGCATGCAGTTAACCAGGCTGTATACATCTCCTCGCTTAATGGTAAGATGCCATGATGAATGACAACTGGCAGCATCCTCTCACTATTGCATCATTTAAAAAGGTTTTTTTTTTAAGGTGAAAAAAAAATAGTTTAAACCAATATCGACAAGCATATTCTTCTAACTTTTCTCTCCATGTTGTTTATGAAAGTAATATCGTTTACGACTTTTTTTTCTGTTACGATCAAGATATTTTCCTATGGTGATTTACTCTTAAATTCTCATAGTATGTATGTTTGTAATTATACTGTGAGGAGTAGATTTTGGGTACTGTTGGGGATTCAAGGATCCACCTGCTATGAGATTTAGTCCATGAGCCAAGTGGCTAAAAATGGCAGATCGGTACCACCTGAGGTGGCAAAGGCTATCATATATCAAATTAAAGCTTATCATGAGTACAATTCAAAAATATATGATAGCAAGNTTGCTCACTGAGAAATCTCATTTTTTACCACCGTAGACTTGTTTGTTCTTAATGAAAGTCAAATAAAATTAAAAATTAAGATATACAGCAAGTTTATTTTCCGTTAGTTTTACATTTGCGAGAACAATGTGGGGTTTTTGCATGTACGAAACATGACATGTCATGCTACTAAGGTAAAACTCTTCCATTCCATATAACTAAAAGATCTATTTTATGTAGAGGATAAAAATTATAAAAAAGTTCCTGACAATATGTACTAAGTAGCTTTTTACTTTCATTAACTGAATTTTAAGTGTGGAATAATTTCTGGATGAGACTGGTTCAAGTTGAGTATCCTGTGGGAAATTGCTCTGTAGCGTTTTCACTGTTTATCTCTACACTATTTTTTTGGTTAAAAAGGAAAGGTAGGTAAGTTGGTGTCTTGAAAAAAATGATAAAAATAAAGCATATTTTCACACCAAAAGTGTTGGCACTTTTGTTTTAGTTATAGCTCCCGTAGTGGTATGGCTGGGAAGACTGGTAATAGGGTATGCCCAAAAAGACTGGTACTAGGGTAGCCGCCATCTTGTTTCACATAAGCGGTGTTTACAGCTTGACTAGAAGTGGATTCTATTACATGGCATTCTCAGGACTCAGAAATTCCAAAGCGTGCAAGAAGGGAAATGTATTGCATGATTCATTGTAGTGACGATGACAGAGCGCTCATAAGCCCGAATTCTGTGGAATCATGGAGAGCACTGAGATGGGCTGCAGAATTGAGACATCACAAGGATATTCTTGGAATACAGGTAAATTCACCAGATGAAATTCCTGAAGTCTATTATCATAGAAAGTGTAGAAGCATTTTCATTATGAGAAGAGATCTCAAAAAAATCATTTCTCATGAAAAAAAGGAGAGTAAGAAAGATATGGAGCTGACTACTGATGGCAATGGCCAGCAAAGGGCATCCACAAGAGGTCAGCCAAGTACCTCAAGAGTTTATGAAAAGATCTGCATGTTTTGTGAAAAGAAAGACAAATACAAGAAGGGTTCAAAGACCAGAGAGAGCTTAACACAAGCTAGACAGCTTAGACAGATATATCGGTGAGATATATTGCCTCCAAGGAAAGTGATTGAGATAGATAGAAAATTGTCATGAAGGAGGCAAGGAAGAAGAATCTGATCTTTTTGCTGGCATGGCTGCATTGTGCTCAACTCAAGCAAAAGGTCAGTAGCTGGACCAGTTTTAATATACAAGTTCATGATCGCGAATGTATTGTCAAGAGCAATGTAGGCTATTTACCTACGATAACTGCTCCAGCAACAAGCATGGTGACAATCAATGAGGTCCTCAACCAGTCTTTTCGCATAATCCACAGCCTCAAACTCACTAGTATAAGGTGTGTTTTTGACCAGGCTACTTATTGCAAGGCGCTTGAAATCAAATCAAAGAACTCTGACCTGTACAAACCAATTGTCCTTTGCCTTGGCACGTTCCACACATTATGTACCCTCATCTCAATCATTGGAAAGGGGTTTCAAGATGCTGGACTCAGAGATCTGTGTATTGAGTCAGGAGTCGTGGCTGAAGGGTCGGTATCTCCATTAATGGAGGGTCGCAGCTACAACAGGGCTGTACGCTTTCACAAACTTTCTTGAGGCATTTAGGCACGTAGCACGGGAAGGATTTCTGCTGTGGGTTGAGAGTCATCATCCTCAAGATGCCACGCAGATCAACAAGGCACTAGAAGACATAGGAGGTCTTGCTGACGACTTGCAGAAATCAACTCATGATCACATCTTTAACAGCCAGCCATTCCAAGTTCTGTTTGAGCAATCAGAAGAATGCATGGAACACCTACGTAACACAAACGGACCGTTATCAGCCTTTTGGTTGTTGTATATCGACTTGGTAGAGCTAATGCTGCACATGATTCATGCATCCAGAAGGCAACTGGATGTTGCACCTTGCTTGCATGCGTCAAATGCTGCCATGGTGTTTTCCATATGACAACACCAACTACGCTAGGTATATGTCTATCTACTAGTGACATGACCAGTCTACCGAAGGAGCACCCACAAGTTCATGCATTTATGGAAGCAGGCAGGTTTTCTGTTCAGATGAGTCCTGACAATGCCTTTGGCCGAATCCCGGTCTATCAGACTATAAAACAAACTGTTAATAAAGACACTCCGACAGTGGGAGGGACAAGAAGTTTCAGTCTGAACCCTGGTACACCAGGGATACTACATGACTGCTGAGTTCAGTGCGATGTTTCTGTGGAAGATGTGTGAAATGGTAGGCTACCTCAAGGCAACAATAGTCATGCCGATTTACAGAAATCTAGAATAAAGAAAGACGAGAAAGATGTACAAGAGATGACAGACCTTTTATTAAACAGCTGGCTCAATCCGTTTTCTGATGAATCCCAGCTGCTGGCAAGCATTTCAACAAGTGCCATTCCCTCACCTGATATTGCACTAGACTTGGCCAAAGCATATCTTTCTGGTGAAGCAGCATATCAAGATTTCAAGAATAATCGCCTTGACCCTGACAACCTGTTGGTGAAGTTCCATGACACCCTCAAGAAGCAGAAATTGAAGACATTCATCAGTATGTCGAAAGCAAAGACAATAACAAAGAACAAGGGAGAAGAAACGGTCATTCGTGCAGACCGCAATCTATTTGCGGGGATGATAATAATAGCCGAAAGTCATCAAATGCACATGCAAGAGGTATTACAGCATCCCCTTGGCCCAGTACCATCTTCCTTAGCAACGAGCAATGGCTTGCCACGCAAAACTAACAAGGCACAGCTTGGCAGGGAGCTGGAGAAGCTAGTTCAACCAACGTCAGAAATACCAAGCCCTTCTGTATACGTGATTGATGGCATGGCCCTCGTTCAGAAGTTAAAGGTCAGTGACCAGATGACCTTCAGTCAAATCGCAGATGCCGCACTGTCATGTGTTTTACAAGAAAGAGGAAACAGCAGACACATAGATGTAGTTTTTGATGTATACAATGAGATAAGTATAAAGTCTACACAGCGAGAACAGAGAGAATAAGGACAATTGGTGACATACGAGAATCTCACAGCCGGGCAAAAAATAAAACAGTTCAGGAACTTTCTGCAAAATGGCCAAAACACGATCAGCTTAATTAAGTTTTTAATGACTACTGGGGAAAGCCTCCAAGTCGAGAGAAGCTTGCCAACAAGGAGCTCTACACAACATGTGGCACCAAGTGCTACAAACTAACGGTGGATACTTTGCAGGAAGTAATCGAACTCTCATCTCAGCAAGAAGCCGACACTCATCTCCTGCTACATGCGAAACATGCTGCAACACCGCATGTGAAGGCAGTTATCATTTCATCTGAGGATACAGATGTGCACATACTATGCATTTCGTTTGCGCATGCGCATATCAGAGATATGTTTCGCAACACCAAGCCAGGTATGTTGATATCAGTAAAATAGCTGGTGTACTTGTACAGGAAGTTTCCAAGGCACTTCTTGGACTTCATGCCTTCACAGGCTGTGATAGTGTGAGTGCTTTCACGGGCATTGGAAATGCTAGGCCACCCAAATTGCTCCACAGCAAGAACGAGTTCAAAGTCATGTTTCAAAACCTGGGGGAACAGTGATCTATTACAGAGGAACTGTGCGTCCAGCTCGAGTCGTTTGTGTGTGCTATGTACGGGATGAAGAAAGAAAATCGGCGTGAATTGAGAAACTTGCATTTTCCCCTAATTTGATATGTTGTTGGCCCTGCTCTCAACGTTTGACTTCACTTTATATGGGCTTTGCGGGCTATTTCTTATTTGATATGTTATTTACTCTGCTTTTAACGTTTGCGTTTGTTTTACTGGGCTTTGGGAGCCATCATTCATTTGATTTGTTATTCGCCCTGCTTTTAATCTTTTGCCCTTGTTTTACTGGGCTTTGTGGGCTACATGTATTTTTGATTTTATTTGTTACTAGCCCTGTTTTTGACGTTTGCCCTTGATTTATTGGGTTTTGCGGGCTATTTCTAATTTGATGATATTCGCCCTGCTCTCAACATTTGCCCTCGTTTACCATGGGCTCTGCAGGCTCTTTCTAATTTGATGTCCTTCATTTGTTGTTTGCCCCGCTTTTAACATTTGCCCTTGTTTTATTGGGCTTTACGGGCTATTTCTACTTTGAGTTGTTATTCGCCTACCCTAGGTACCAGAGGTCATGAAAATGTCCAAAGAGATCAGCAGCATTTGCCAACTTTTCTGCAAACAAAGTGCTTGAT